TAGCTCTATTTTCAACTTTTTGAGGAACCTCCATACAGTTTTCCAGAGTGGCTGCACCAGCTTGCATTCCCACCAACAGTGTAGGAGGGTTCCCTCAAATAAATTTAAGTTTTTAAAAAATTATTATTCCATCAAGTTTATGTATATGGGCTTTGAATCCTAGTAGGATAGAATTCTAGCTCTCCTGTTTTCTAGCTAGAGATCCAGTGTAAAACAAAAACCCTTTATTTACTTCATTTATAAAACAGCAAAAACATCACTTACCTACTTTTTAGGGTTTTCCTAATGCTTGCAAAGTAATATTAAACGTTGAGAGTACATAATAGGAGCTCAATAAATGAAATCCATTTGATAATCAAAGATGTTTAGAAGTGCTCATCCAAATAAGAGTTCATCAAATTTTTGTTTGAGAGTACCTTTTCTCCTGTTTCCCATTTCTCAAATCACTGACCACACTTGGAGTAGTTGGTCAGAAGATAGAAAAAGTACAGGTAATATCTAAGTCATTCTCCTTTGAAATTCAGAAGTAAGCACAAACATATCCACATACGTTTACTTGGTTATCTTCCAGGAATGAATGCATTGTGATAATGCATACAAACACATACATATTCATAATGTATTTTACACATTAATATAAAGCATTCAAGGACATGGAACATGTTCATTCTCCTGCATCTATTTTTGCTTTCTTCCTATTTCCTCCCATCCCTTAAGAATTTGGGCTCTCTTCTCTCTCTACTTTTTTTTATCAGGAGAAACACAGGCCTTGCTAGGCAAATGTTTCTCCAAGTTCTAGTTCTTGTCAGTATCTTTTTCTGGAACTAGACACCTGCTTCCAACCACCTATTTGGCATCTCCGTCCTGATGGCACCCTAAACTGACTATACCCAAAGTTGCATTCATTATCTTATTCCCCCGCCAAATAGGACCTCCTTCAGAGAATCTTATGTTTAAGATTGGAAATGAGATGGTTTTGACTCTTCCTCTCCTGATACCCTATGCTAATCAGTTAATTTGAAATCCTTTGCCATGATGTCTTAATTACCTAGTCTCTCCTTCCCATTCCCGTTTCTACCTTTCTACTGAGAGATTCTTACCTCAATTTTTATAACAACCTCCTAAATGCTTTCCCTACTCCAGCCCCCTCCCGTTACAACCTGGCCTACCAACACATTATACACAACACATTGTGAAACTTCCTCAATCACAAACGCAATAATTTACTTTCATTCTCAAAATCTGGCCATTGTGAAACAGGAAATATAAACTCAGGCTTGGCATCTGAGGTTCCCTACCAGGTGTCATCAGGTTATCTTTTGAGCCCTATCGTCTTTGATTCTTTTGACTCTGAGGGTGTATAAATGAATGGCCCCACAAAGGCAGATCTAGTTTGCACGTGTAATTTTCTTTGACCCACACATGATTCTATACATTTGGAATTAGTTGCTTATTTCACGTAGTTGCTAACTTTACACATTGCCACATGACACAAAGCTAGGCAGTGAGTGGCCTCTTAAATGGAGAAACATGCCCTGGTTCACCATAGCCTTCATCTGATGGGTGCTCTACCACTCGATCTGGTCCTGGCTGGGTGCCTGTAAGCACGTGAATTTATGACACTTGCCCTATGCTACCTAGTGCCCCAGCCAAATGTATCATTCCCAAATGCACAGCATGTCTCTGCTTATGTTATTCCATCTTTCTAGAAATGCCCTCTCCCTCCATCTTTCCTGTCTTTAAGGTTCATTTCAAACACTGTTACCTTCTGTGAAGCTTTCTTTGACCACCCCAATGGATGTTACTGCCCTGTTTTTGAACCTCTGTAACACTTTGTGGTTCTCTTATGGCCTATATCCCACTCTTCACTGGATCAGTCATTGGTATCCTTGATTTCTTCCCATATCTCAGGGAGGTGTATTGATGGGTGCTTGTCCCCCACTCCTCAAGGCTTTCTGAAAGAGGGGTTTTCCTCTTGACCTAGACCTTCCTTCCTCCTCCCTACAGAGATGGAGCAAGTTTCCATCTCTCCCCTCTGGGGATCTTCCTGTCCACACAGTAGAAATGCCTTGCTCTACTTGGCAGGAAAGGCCCTGACGTGGTGGGTGAGCTTGTCAGTAATGACTGAATGTGTACATTTGTCCAATTCTGAAGTTCAGGATTAGGAGGACCACTGTTGCCACACATCTAAGACAGGATTTTCCTTCCAGGTTTTACCAGCAAACAAAGCTATATTTTTATCTGCTTGAATACTTATCTCACAACTGTTTTCAAACTCAAGCAGGGAAAAGGAGGTGTTCTCATTGGACATCTCTAAGCCCAATAATGATTCACTCTGTCTTGAATCCTCTGCAGCAACTAGCAAAGTCATTCACTGTAAAGATAGGCACTCAAAACACATGTATCAAATTGAATCAAAGGGTATAATCAATATGTATAAAATTCATGGAATATAATTTCTCCTATGTCATGTCCCCATAAACCATAACTTAAATGTCTTTTTGTAGATGTTAAAGAAATGCAAATGATTCTGTATATTACATAAAATATTTATTTCTTATTTACATTTCCATTTTTATGTAAATCATTGCACATAATATTACATATCAAAAAAAAGAAAAAGAAAGGAAAAGATATATAAACCTTAGACATCAGTGAAGAAAGCATTGCACCATGTGATACTTATCAGCAGTCTCACGGGTCTCGTTTCTTGCTCTTTTTGGATTTTCTAGTAGTTTCTTGACGAATGGTATCATACTCCAATATGGCCATTTTGGAAAGTCTCTGTAAGTATTGAGATGATGCTCCAGCAAGAGGATCGCTGAAGCCAGAACCTGTGAAGAAAAAGAAATCAACTATTAAAATTAAGCACACTGAAATGATATTCTCTAAAATACAGGGCAAACAAAATCTCTCTTCCTCAAATGACCATTAAACACTGCTAGTTCTTGATATATTACATTAGTTGAAGTAAAAATAGAAAATATTTACTTTCTAAAGTGATTGTGATGTCAAGTCATCTCAAAAATATTTAACTAGGGGTGCCTGGGTGGCTCAGTCGGTTGGGCGTCTGACTCTTGATTTGGTTCAGATTATGATCTCAGGGTCATGGGATCGAGCCCTGCATAGGGCTCCACTCAGCAGGGGGCAGGAGGGGTCTGCTTGAGATTCTCTCTCCCTCTCCCTCTGCCTCTCCCCCCACTCATGCTCTCTCTCTAATAAATAAATAAGTCTTTTTTTAAAATGTAACTAAAAAATCCTATAATACTCATATTTAATTATATAAAACTAAATCTGAGTCTATAATGTACTTTTTAAAACATGGGATGGCTGTGGAATTTATTCCAAAGCAAAAGAAACAGTTTCCAAAAATAATTAACTTGTTTCATACCTTATATGTTCATCAAGTTATTTTCTCCAAATATACCATTTCTCATAAATGCTAAGTTTAGTAAAATAGTAAAACTGTAAAGGAAAATGAATCATTCACTAACTGAACAGCATACTCAAGTTTCTATTATAGAGTGGTAGTAATAATAGTAGTAGATAACATATATCAAATGATCTCTCTGTGCCAAGTACTTATATTTATTTCACCCACACAACACTATGAAGTAGGCATTTAGTACTCTCTTAGACCACAGATATAAAAAGAAGGTTTAGTGGGGCTAAAAAACTTGCCCAAGGGCAAAGGATTTGAATCCAGATTCATCAAATTCAAACTTCCCATGCAATCACTACATATTGCCCTAAATATGTAAAGATGTATAAATACTTCTATTTTGAAACATATAAAACTTTGAAAATAATGTACTGATTCAAACTGTTTTAAAATATTATTTAATTTCAAAACAGTTAAGTGTCAAAAAAAGCTATCTACAATTCTCCAGTGTGGTTATTTTTGGTTTGTTTTGTTATTTGAGTGCATAACATAAGTAGGAAGTTCAGAGAAAGACAGAGGGTAGAGGGAAAGAATATGATCGGGATACTGGTTCTTAGCAGTACAATGACCCTGACACTTAGAAAAACTCTCTGGCTACAAATTAACTGGATTCTAGATATTAACCAAATGTCAAAAAGTTTCAAAAAACTTCAAAACTTTATACAAACCAATACAATTAAGTTGGAAGTTGTTAACAATAAGATAAATTTAAAATCCTCAAATAGTTAGAAATTTATACACACATTTTAGATTATTCATCAGTCAAAAAAGAAATCATAATAAACATTAAATTATTTGTAACTAAATGATAATGAAAATATTACAAAACTTCTGTGATGCAGCAAAAGTTATACATAGAGAGGTTTATACCCTAAATTCCTATGTTAGAAAAGAAGGCTTAAAAATTAATAAGTTAGGTATAAGATATACATTAGGAAAATAATAAACCCAAAGAACATAGAAGAAAAAGATAATACAGGAAAGAGAAGAAATCAATGAAGTAGAAAACAAATTTACAATAAGAAAGATTTTTTAGAAGATGAGTTCTTCATTGAAGATAAAAATAAAGAAGAAAAGTCTCTGGGGAGATTAATTAAGAAAAAAAGGCAGAAGGCACAAATAAATAACACTAAAAGAAGAGGGACACGTAGAGCATGTGACTCTTGATCTCAGGGTTGTGAGTTCTAGCCCCACATTGGGTGTAGAGATTACTTATAAATAAAATCTTTAAAAAAAAAAGAAGAGGGATAGAAGTACAGATAAAACAAAAACTAAACTTTATGCCAATATACCTGAAAATTTAGACAAAATGCAAAAAATTTTAGAAAATATAACTTACCAAAATTGATTGAAGAATTAGAATGCCTGAAAAATCCTAAAATTAAAATGATTGAATCAATATTAAAATAATAATTCTTGCCTTGCTGTCTGTTTTGTTTGATGTTAGTGTAGCTACACAATCTTTCTTTTTATTAATGTTTGCATGATTTGTATTTTTCCAACCTCACACTTTTGATCTTTCTTGCCCTTAAGTTTAAGGTATGCCTCTTGCAAACAACATACAGTTATTTTTCTCATTCTGATACTTTGTTTTTTCATTGAAATATTTAGTCTGCTTATATCTAATGTAATTGTTGTTATGTTTAATTTTAAATCTTCAATCTTGCTAATTGTTTTCTATTTGTCCTATATGTTTTATGTTTCCTTTTTCCTCCTTTCTTGTCCTCTTCTGAAATGATCAAGTGTTTTCTCACTTTATATTTCCCCTCTCTATTAGCTTGCTACTTGTATTATTTTATTATTCTTTTATTGGTTACCATACAGATTATCACATGTCTCTGTGACACATTACAATCTACTTTACATTAGTTATTTTACCATTTTTCAAATAATGCGAGTATCTTACAATACTTCAACTCCACGTATGCCCCATCCTACCTGTGTGCTACTATTGTCAAGTATTTTATTTCTACACAGATTTTAAACTTCATAATACTACAGTTACTGCTTCTCATTCTTTTTCAAGTTGTTGTACTTCCTTTTTGTATAATTTCTTCCTTAATATTTTTTAGTGAAGCTCTGCAGACAATAAACTCTCTCAACTTCTACTTGAATGAAAATGTATTTGTTTCACTTTTACTTTTAAGGGTATTTTCACTGGGTATCCAATTCAAGTTTGGCAGTTATCTCTTTTTAGCCCTTGAAAATGCTATTCCACTTTCTTCTTGCTTCCATTGTCTACACTTAAAAAGTCAGTTGTATGTCTTACCATTGCACCTTTGAAGGTAACATATCTTTTCTCTGTTTTCTTGTTTTGTGTGTGTTTTTTTAACTTAGTCTTTTTATTATGATGTGCCTAGCTATGGTTTTCTTTGTTTCTATCCTGCTGAGGGCTCACAGAACTTCTTGTATTGTTGGCTTTGTATTTTTCATCAAAACTGGGAACTTATCAGCCAGTATGTAAATATTGTTTCTGTCCTACCTTGTTTATACTGGAATTAGAATTACACATGTGTGAAGCAGGTTTACCTTGTCACATAATGACTTGCACACTCTCTTCTGTATTATCTTTTTTCTCCCTTCACTTTAATTGGGTATTTTCTAATGATCTTTCATTTTACAAATCCTTTCATCTGTTGCTTTCCATTTCTCCCCCAACTTTATTGCAGTATATTTCACAAATAAAAGTTGTATATATTTAAGGTTTACAACACAATGACTTGATATACGTATATATTATGAAATGATTACCACAATTAAGTTAATTAACACATCCATCACCTCACATAGTTATCTTTTCTGGGAAAGTAACTGGGTTCTCATCTGGGAAGATGAGAACACTTGAGACCTATTCTCTTAGCAGATTTCAGTATACAATTCAGTATTATTAACTATAGTCACCATGCTGTACATTGGATCCCCAGAACTTATTCCTCTTAGAACTGTAATTTTGTATCAACATCTCCCCATTTGCCCCACTCAAAACCCTGGTAACCACCATTCTATTCTGTATGTTCGACTTTTTTTTTTTTTTTTTTAAGATTCCACATATAAGTGATTGATTCCATTAGGAACAAAGTCTCATGCAGCATTCATCTTTCTCTGTCTGGCTTATTTCACTAAGCATAATGCCCTGTGTGTTTAACCATATTGTCACAAACAACAGATTTCCTTTTTTACTGCTATATAATATAGGTATCCCAGCTTTTCAAAAGTTCATGTTAAGCCATTTTACTTCTATGAAAGATCTACATTAGTATCTGTTTTTGCTAACTGCCAAGAAATCCAATAAAGATTTTTCACTTTGATTTTAAAAAGGTAAAAACTGAAAATAGCGTTCAGTGTTTGTTTTGCAGCGAGCCATTATAGAGGTAGCATGCACCCTGAACAGTGAGGGTGGCACCATCAAGCTCCTTCCTGAACTACACTCAGCATCAAGCTGCCACAGCTTTCAAAAATTTCAAAGGTCAGAAACTCAAAGCAAGACTAGTATGCAGGCCATGCAATGGCCCACATGAGAGATGATGAGGGACTATCCCAAGGTCCTGAGATAATAAAGGTGTGTGTATAGTGAACATAACATCCACTTCGTTTATAAAATAAACAAAGCTTAAAAGAAACTTTAAAAAGAACAAAGCAGTTAAATCAGTGGAAAGAAAGGAAGTTAAAAAGAATAAGTATGAGACAACCTCATAAGACATGTGGCAGGAGAAAAAAATGAGCCAACTTACTCTTTGGTTTCTCCTGAAGTGGTACCACAGTGCAGGCCTTCTTAGTCTTCCTTATCCTAAAATTACATATTATCATAAAATCACTTTTACATAAACCCAGGGTACGTTAATTTAAAAAATACAATAAGAGACAAGAAGCTGCTTTCAGCAAAACTCACTTGGTGAAGGACATCACATGGAAAGTAAATAAACATTAAAGTAAACTCATTCCATCATAACCAATCCAATCAGAAGCAGATAGGAACAACCCAACGTTTCAGTTTTTGCTAATAAATTTTACCTGTAGGTAAGTGTTATGTCTAACTTTTCCCATATTTATCTTTATCTTAACTTTCTCTAAGATTGATTCAGGGAATACTAAGAGGAAGGGAATCAAGATTAGATTAAGAGGGTATCTAGATAGGCCAATATCAACTATCGCCTACTTGTGCACATTTTACCTATTAACCACCACAATCTGAACTTTATCTTAATTAACTTCTGTTCCTACTGGAACAGACCTACATAACAAGTGGGCTATTAGAGGAAGTATGTCTTGACCGAACCTGCTATAGGTGAGATAATCTATAAGAATTGCAAATTTCCTGTAACTATATTAAACTTTAGAAGTCAGCCGGAACTCTTAAATGCCCTTCACTTCTAGGATTACTACTATAGTTATATTACCAGAGCGTGCCTTGAGAGTCACTGAAAGTGTATGATTATAGTTAAAGAAATTTGAGGGGCGCCTGGATGGCTCAGTTGGTTAAGCGACTGCCTTTGGCTCAGGTCATGATCCCGGGGTCCTGGGATTGAGCCCCGCATTGGGCTCCCCCTGCTCTGCAGGGAGCCTGCTTCTCCCTCTCTCTCTGCCTGCCACTCCCCGTGCTTGGGCTCTCTCTCTCTCTCTGTGTCAAATAAATAAATAAAAAATCTTTTAAAAAAAAGAAGTTTGAAAAAACAAACTTTTATCAGCATTTTAAAAATAAATATTCACATATGGAGGGAAAAGAGGGGGTAAGGGGCTGTACACAAGACAAACAAAAATGCGTTACTTTCCTGGTTTGCCATGGCTGTTCATTCACGGGGCGCTGTGCAATATGCAGAGGAGAATAAAATACTTGCACGCAATTCGACATGTTCTCACTAGACTGGCTAAAATAAAGACACTTGTTTCAAAAACAGGGAAAAGAACTAACATTTACGTTTGCCAAGCACTTCATAAACATTATGGCACATAGCCACCACTCTTCCACTTTGTATATGAACAACACTTGTCATAACATGAATTTAATATATTCAAATTATCCTTCACTGGCTAGGTAAATTCACACTCAAGTCGATGTAAAATGGCGAGGAATCATTTCACAAACAGCCAAATTGCAAATGAAAAAAACGAAAAAACTGAAATAGAGCGAAAACAGTAGGAAGCAAAAGGAAGATTAAGAGGTAGTTGGGCTAATTTAGGGGGTGCTTTCTGGGTTTCCAGTTTCTTAAAGATGAGCATATGCAATGAAAGAAGGGTAACAAGCCTGATCTGTACTGAGACAAGTCCATTGCCAGACCCAGCCCTACACCCTCCTCAGAGAGCCCTGAGACTCCCGATTAAAATGACAAGGGTGAGGGGACTGTTAGGGACAAGGGTGTCTCCGTAAGGATGGAAAGTCACTGTCCTTAAGTAGGTTTTATACTTCATGTTCCCAACTGTCTCTGTTCTTTCTACATCCCTGCCATCCCTCCTCTGTACCTGTTACCATCTACTCCACTAGCAACTCGCTCGCTCTCTTCCACCATCCCTGATTCTGCCTTATTTCATTATAATCTCATGGAAGAAAGAGTAATTTTGCTTTTTATATTTTTACAGCTTGGAAATCTGTCCTCAGATAATATTAAGAATGATAGGGAGTGGTTAAATAAACTATGGATCCATTAATGAGATACAATGTAACCAGTAAAGACTGTTTGAAGATTATGCAGTGACATGAAAAGAATGACTATGTGTAATAATAAGTTAAAAAGGCAAAATAAAAAATTGTAAGTACACTAAAATCATAGTGAAAACAAAAGTCCCCAAAAATGAAGAAGAAAAGAAGAGAATGAACACCCAACAATAAAAATGGATATGTTAGGATGGGTAAATTATCGAAATATTGTTTATCTTTTTTTCTCCAAATTTTCTGCGAAGTTCTTATCTATTTTCATAATTTCATAAATTATGCACAACTTTTCATTTTTAGTGTATTTTCATATGACCAAAACTTATTTCAAGAGTAATTAACAAGAACAATAATACTAGTAGGAAACTCAGTAAGTATATTTTAAAACTCCTATATTTGTGTGCTGTGTGTAACTGGCTGACTTTAAAGCTCAAGGAATATGAAAATACCAATTTTCCCCTAAGGAGAGTAGCAACTCAGACTACTATAAATGAATCATCTTTTTTTTTAGGCTGGCAAAGTGAACAAGTCCTGGACATTCGATAAATCCCTGATGAATAAATAGATAAACCAAAGCAGCCACCAAATAGAATATGAGACTGTCTTACTAACTTATAGATCCCTTTGGAGAAAGGGGTTTTCTTTTAACAGTATGTCAGCCAGTCTGATTTATAAAAAGGAAGGTAATTATGATAATGGTTTTAAATGCCAATATTCAAAGTGAGTGGGACTTTTCTTTGACAGACTCCTTGTCCAATTGTCAGCGCAATTCTTCATCACACTGTCATCTCATTTAGAACCTCCCCTCACACTACGTCAGTCAGACTAGAAACAAAACCCAAGGTACTATATTCAGCATACGGAAATCTGTTAATATTGCAGAGAGTTCATTTATTTTTATTGCTAAAAATTCCAATATTCTCATGGGCAATCCATACTAGGGCAACAAATATTTTTAAAAGGAAGTCCTTAAGTCCTTTCTGGCAATGTCCCTTGAAAACTGAGAAAAGGGCGTACTTGTCAAACCAAATAAAATTGCTACCTAGATTAAAACGTGAGATCCTTTATGAAAAAAATATCAGTGGGCAAGAAAGCCTTCAATTCACTAGGCAGAAAAACCTCTACCTTGAGCAGTATTACTACAGATACGAGTCGAACACAAGAGAACTGAAGAGCAATGGTCTACCTGACTGGAGGCATCTCGGTAGCAGCATGAAGCAGTCTTGGATGAACTTCCAGTAGAGGTGAACTTACACTTTTTGGGCAACTCTGCAGTCCTGGTAAATACGGCATTTTGACACATTCTTTGAACTCTTCTAGACCAAATGCTGTGGTATATTCTAATTAAAAATAGTATCATAATCAATGGTATTAATTCTTTTTTTTTTTTTTAAGATTCTTTTTATTTATTTTTCAACAGAGAGAGAGACAGCGAGAGAGGGAACACAAGCAGGGGGAGTGGGAGAGGGAGAAGCAGGCTTCCCGC